CTCCCACCATAGCTGCTTTAGTTAAAGTTTAATTTCAGACCATCCTTTGTGGTTACTTTATGTTTCTGAGTTTGCAAGACTGCTATGCAGGCCTCCTCTGAGCTTGTCAGGTCAGCATGTGGCCCCTTTTGTCCACAACAGATTATATAGATTTTTATCTAGAAATAATAAAATTTGCTATTTTAATGATTTTTAACAGTATAATTAATTGCCAATCTTTTTTTTTTAAAATATATTTTATTGATTTTTTTACAGAGAGGAAAGGAGAGAGATAGAGATAGAGAGTTAGAAACATCGATGAGAGAGAAACATCGATCAGCTGCCTCCTGCACATCCCCCACTGGGGAAGTGCGCGCAACCCAGGTACATGCCCTTGATGGGAATCGAACCTGGGACCTTTCAGTCCACAGGCCGACGCTCTATCCACTGAGCCAAACCGGTTTCGGCTAATTGCCAATCTTTATTCATTTGTTTTCTGGTTGCTGTCACTGACTATTAAAAAAAATGTCCAAATTGCTTTTCATTAATTTTGAATGTTGTGAGGACTGGTGAAGCCAGAAATACTTAGCATTATTCTATTCTTTGTTCCTATTTATAAAAATGGTTTCTGCTTACTTCAAGCTTTTCTTGTGACTACACCATCTATCTTCCCAACCCCCACGATTAGTGCTGACACTTGAAAATAGACCTTTGGCATTTATTCTTTTACATTTTGCATAGGAATGTAAGTTAGATAGGAGATATTATACCATGTTTAACTCTTTTACTTTAAAAAATACACTAACAGTGTGTGTGTGTGTGTGTGTTAATCCTTACCTGAGGATATTTTTTCCATTGATTTTGTTTGTTTTAGAGAGAGTGGAAGGGAGGGAGGGAGGAGGAGAAAGAGAGAGATTCTGTAAAAACTCGAAATCATTGTGAGAGAGATATATCTATTGGTTGCCCCCTGCACCCACCCGACCAGGGTTGGGAATTAAACCTGCAACCCAGGTACATGCTGTTAACTGGGAATTGAACCCTTGACCCTATGGTTTGTGGGCAGACGCTCGGACCATTGTACCACACTGGCCAGAGCAAGAATTTTTTTAAATATATTTTTATTGATTTCAGAGAGGAAGGGAGAGGGAGAGAGATAGAAAAATCAATGATGAGAGAGAATCATTGACCAGTTGCCTCCTGCATGCCTGACACTGGATTGAGCCTGCAACCCCAGAGCAAGTGCCCTTGACCGGAATCTAACTTGGGACCTTTCAGTCTGCAAACTATCCACTGAGCAAACTGGCTAGGGCAAGACATTTTTTTAATGTTGTAAATTCTTCCTCTTAGAAAAAGTAAATGTATGCAAAATTAACAAAATGGGTCAGAACAGGCGTCTGTTCGTCTACTACTTGGATGAATGTGTATGTCAATGCTTTCTTCGTACTGGAACAAGACAGAACTAAACATATCTGCCCTCATGGAGCTATGTTATTGTAAGACACATACATAATAAATGTTATTCTAGTGGTTGTGAAGTACTAAGTATGCAAAGAAGCTAGGACAGTGGGTGGAGTGGGAAGAAATGTTGTGAAGTCTGTCTCGCACTTGTTGATTATCTGGCCTCTTCCTGAGCAATGCACTGTTAACATCTTCCACTAACAGGTCCATTGCCGACTGGCTTCGAGCTCCCGACACTATGTATTTGCTGGACTTTGTGAAACCAGAGTTCCTCTTGCTTCGGGTATGGTCCTTGGCACTTTCTCATTTCTGTTAACGTGAGGAGTCTGTCTGTATGTGGTGTGCAGGTTTATCTTGCAAATGCACATGTTACTCCAAGGGAACCTTTTACTATTAATTCAATATGCACATGTAATTGGCAATGTTCTTTTGAAGTTTCCCACATTTAGCTGTAGGAATGCTGAAAAGGCAGCCACTTTGACATGTAATATTTGGAGTTGACATTTCAGCTCACATTATTATTATTTTTTAATCACTAGAGGATATTTTTTCCATTGATTTTTTTTTTTTTTTTTTTTTAGAGACAGTGGGAAGGAAGGAGGAAGGGGAGAGAGAGAGAAGGAGGAAAAGAGGAACGGAGAGAGGGAGGAAAGAAAAGAAGGAGGGAGGGATGGAGAGAGGAGGGAGACACATCTATTGGTTGCCTCCAGCTGCTGCTGCTGCTGGTAGACATGAATTAAACCTGCAACCAAGGTATATGCCCTTGACCAGAAATCGAGCCCATGACCCTTCTGTCCAAGGGCCGACACTAGCCATTGAACAAAACTGGTCAGGGCTCACATATTATTCAAAACTTCCTGTTAAATAGCAAGTGACTGCAGCTTTACTACTGCTTCATTAGTAAGGATGCAGTATTACTATTAAGCGTATAAATAATGACAATAACTATGTAACATAACTACCTGAATTATTCCTTCTATGCTGTTTCAACTTGTCTGTTTTTAGCCTATGAAAGCCTTGAAATTACGTCGATAGGGCTATGGTTCTTTTCTTTTAAAACGTCCTTTTAGCTTCTCCAGATTTTGATGACAACTCAATTTTAGATTTTTGGGTTAAAATCTAAATCTTCAGTTTATTTTCATGATTGTCTTAGGTTGATACTGTATAGTAATTTTATTTTTCGAAATTACCGTCATTTGGGAACTGATTCTAAATTATTCTCTTTAACATTGTCATTGTTATAAAATCTGTGAACTTTGCTTGCTCTAATTAATTTTATCTGTATTACATTTTAAAGACACTTGCTCGATGCCTGATTTTGTGGGATGATATTTTACCAAATTCCAAGTGGGTTGATAGCAATGTTCCTCAGGTAAGTACATATGGTAAATATTGTTATACCTTTAATGGCATAAAATTATGATTTCTTATGGACTTTCCAAAACCCCATAAAATACTTCTTCTTAGGAAGGCAATATTGATGATTAAGGTATCTCTTGAAAACATAGCAACTTTCATTTTAAGATTGTGTGCTTATTATAGATTAACCTTCCTTTCTGACCCAAGATCCCAAGAAATTGTAGTTTTTAAAAATTAAATATACCTAAGTACCTTAAAGTATTTTTGTCATTTTTATCTGAATTGGTACACATTTATCTAAGATGCTATTATTTACTTTGTGACAATTTAAATCTCTTATTAAAAACTTATTTTAATTTATGACATATTTATTCAATAAGCCAAATCATTATAAATAAGCAGGCTCCATAATAACTCCAAATCAAATATTATCAATAAATATTACCCTTTTAACCAACAGTCCATTTCTGGTGGTCAGTTCCATTTTATTTATAAAATAAATCTATTTATCCTTGGGAATGCTTGAGAGTATTTCCCCTAATATTTGAGTAAGAAAAAGTTCAAAATAAAGAAAGGTTTAAAGAACTTCATAGAAACACCTATATCACCAATTAGATTCTAAATTAATTAGATTCTAAAACAATTAATATTTTACTGTGAAAACTTGTTTAACCACATATTTCATTTTTCCTCTATCCAATCCATCATTTTTAAAATATATTTCGGTTAGTTACAGACAGTACTGAATTTCCTTAAATGTTTTAGCATGTGTGTTAATAACTAGAATTTTATATTTCCCTTTTAAGATAAAATTTATGTGCAATGAAATGCACAGATCTTAACTGTAGTATTTGATAAGATTTGACTAATGTCTATGCTCATGGAAACAAACCTCCTTCAAAATGACCAGAAGTTCCTTCCTTCCCCTACCCACTCAGGCTGTTCACTCCCTCCCTCCCCCAATGCAACCAGTTTTCTGATGTTTTCCCAAAATAAATTAGTTTGCCTGATGTACAACTTTATATTGATGGATTCACATGTAGGAAACCTTTGTATAAGGTTTCCTTCACTCAGAATGATTGTGTGATAGTAATGGTTCATTCTATTTATTGTAAGTAGTATTCCATTGCTATTAACTTCCCACAGTTTCTTTTTTCATTCTCTTTGGTTGGACATCTGGGCTGGTTCCAGGTTTAGCCATTATGAATCGAGCTACCATAATCTTATATGAATATTTTTGTGCATTGATGTTTAATTTCTTTTGAATAAACATTTAAGATTGGAATTACAGAGGCATAGAGTAGATAATGTATTTGGTTTTATAAGAACTGGTGGGTCTTTTACCAGACTTTGTACCATTTTACACTTTGGACAACAGTGTTTAAAAGTACTGGTACTATATACCGCATCCATATTTGATGGTGTTAATCTTTTAAATTTTAGTTATGTTGGTAAATATGTAGTTTCCATTTGTATTTCCCTGCTGACTGATGACAAGGGAACCTTCTTATTTCTTCCTTCATATATTCTTTTGTGTGAAGCGTCTGTTCCTATCTCTTTCCCATTTTTTAAAAAAATGTTATTTATTTTTTTTACTATTGAGTTGCTAGGATTTTTAATATTTCCTGAAAGCCTATTCTTTCGCAGATACATGCTTTGCAGATATTCCTCCCTGTGTTTGGTTTGTCTGTAATGTTTTTGCTGAGCAGATTTTCAAAGTTTGATAATGACTAGTTTATCAGTTTTTTATTTTATGGTTATTGTGTTTTGTGTCCTGTGAAAAAAACATTTGTCTAACTCCAAATCCTGGAGATTGTCTCTTGTTTGTTTGTTTTTTGTCTCTAAAAACTCCAATGTTTTAGCTTTTGTGTATAGTTTGGCATCCATCTCAGAATAATTTTGTTTATGACATAAGGTAGGCATTGAGGTTTTTGGTTTATAAAACTATCAGAAGCCTGGTGTACCGATTTGTGCACCGATGGGGTGCCTTAGCCTGGCCTGCACCCTCTCACAATCCAGGACCCTTCGGGGGATGTCAGAGACCCGGTGCACGGATTCAG